CTGAAAAGTAACTCAGCCCAACTCAGACAACTTACTAGGGTTATATTCGTAAAAATGTCTTCTGTTTTTTTGTTTGGTCACAGAGGACTATATTGTAATTTCATAGCCCTTTTAGGTTAGATTTGCATTTGATTCAAGTTGGGGTCTAGTATTGGGGTTAAAACCAAGTTGTGGGTTAGTTTTGGCAAAAACCCCTAAATAAATTATATTAAATTTGTTTTGAAACTTTATATATTTTAAATGCAAATATTTTACCAACTGCTTTTTAAGAGAGCATTAAGGAACTTGCTAATACTTTACCAATCAAGCTCAGTGATACTCCGTTTATTTTCCATCACTCGAACACTGAAAAGTGAAAAGATATATGAAACCGGGACCATTAAATTATAAGCTTTGATCTACTGTTCTAATCCAATTGTTTCTGATCCTACGTATAGATAATTATATAAAAATTCCGAAATTCTAAAATTTCAAATACATATAAAAACAATCATATGTAAATTTTAAATGTTTCAATACTAAAATTTTATATTTTAATTATATACATTCACACTGCGCAAGGCCATGTCTTATTCTAGTATATATATATTGTTTAAAGTACGTACGTATGTATGTCATAGAAAATATCGTCCTCGCAATATTCAGTTTAGGCTTTAGCTAACATTACTTTGTCCTGGAACGGAGTTTTTGACCCCGCAAATAATGGGGCGATTGGTTAGACTGTAACTGTAAAAATTATATGGAAGAAATTAATCTGTAAAATATTTGAATTTAGTGTTATCTAATGTAATTATAGAATTAAATGAGAGAAAATAGAAAAAGAAAAGATATTCCTACAACAATAATTTTTTTGCTTGGAAAAATAAGGCTACTATAACAACCTTTTTATTTTTTTAACTTTAACTTTAAAAACTTGCACAATTCAATGATGCCATGTTAGCGAAAATAGCTTGGAGAATCCTGAAGAACCCCGCTAACCTCCTCGCGAAAATCCTCCTTGGCAAATATTGCCATAAGACCCTGTTTTTGGAAACTCACATCGCAAGTGGAACTTCTCATGGTTGGAGAGGCATTTTAATAGGACGTGACTTGCTCCGTGAAGGTCTAGGATGGGTATTAGGATCTGGCCATGAGGTGGGGATATGGAATGAACCGTGGCTGTCTATGGAGAGGCCTTTTTCCCTGATAGGCCCCCCAACAGAGGAGACGCAATCATGGACCGTTAGCAAGCTTATTGATCCGGTGACTAAAGAATGGGATAGTCGCATCATAAGAGAAACATTACCTCTTTATGAGGTAAACTGATCCCAAGATTCTTTGATTTAAAGGATGAAAGAGTGTGGCTCCTCAGTGCTTCTGGAACGTACACAACAAAGTCAGGCTACGTAGTGGCTAAACTTTGTAAAGGTGATCATTCTATCCAAAACTTCAACTGGAAAACCTGCATTTGGCAAGTGCAAACAACACCAAAAATTCGTCACTTTCTCTGGAAAGCTAACAGTAAAGCATTACCGGTGGGTTCTTTATTAGAGAGCAGAGGTCTCTCTATTTCCCCGGTTTGTAAACGTTGTGGTGCCAAAGAAACAGAGCTTCATGTGCTCTTCCAATGCTCTTTTGCAGTGAGAGTCTGGGATCTGGTGCCATGTATCTACAAACCGGTTATCTTTAGCATCAGTTCGATTTCGTCCCTACTGCAGCAATGCTGTAGAATGATTTCTCCCCCACCAGTAGGACTCGGGAAAACTCCCTTGTATCCCTGGATCCTTTGGATCTTATGGAATAACAGGAACAAGCTTGTGTTTGAAAATAAATTCTTCTCCGAGGAAAACTCTGTCCTCAAAGCCATTCAAGATGCTCGAGCTTGGATGGCAGCACAGGCGTGCCTTGAAAAAAAATCCATTACCACTTTATGTGGTCCCAACATTGCAGGTTCCTCCCTTTAATTCCTATACTTGGTCTGTGTTTTCAGATGCAGCTTGGAACTCTTCTTCAGGAAACTGTGGCCTTGGATTGTACCTACATGATGCTTCCGGCAAGTACTCAGAAAAATCTTCCTCTCACCGTCGCTTTGTTCCCTCGGCTCTGGTAGCTGAGGCTTTGGCGGTTAAAGCTGCAGTGCTTGCAGCAATCTCTTCACATGTCAGTTGCTTAAATGTCTTCTCTGACTCTAAAGCTCTCATCTTGCTCTTGAATTCTCAAGCCCAAGATATTGTCTTGAAAGGTGTTCTTCATGGTATCAGTATTTTGGCGTCATCTTTCGAATCTATCTCGTTTAATTTTCTCCCGTGTTTAGCAAATGTTGTAGCTGATTCCTTGGCGAAATCTGCGCTATTTTCAGACTCTTGTATCTGCCACTGGCTGAGGCCTTTTGAAATTTAAGTACGTTTTTTGATAAAAAAAAAAACTTTAACTTTAAAAACTACTTAAAATATGATTGGTGATTTATATGGTTGTACATAGAAAATAAAACTAAAATCCTTAGTTAAAGCCCAACCAATATCACATTATAAGTTCTATGGTTTTTTGTTAATTTTTTTATAGTAATTGGTAAGGTATGATTACTCATTTGAATCCTAATTTTAATTTTTGAAGAAGTAGTGAGAATTAAAGCCAGATTTATGAAGAGTATGAAGATGGTGTAGCAACTTGGTTTGGCGCGACGATGAACACTTCGAACATTTTTTAACTCTTTATTCACTCCCTTTCATCTTCTAGAAAGTTAGCAACAAAGCTCAAAATATGAAGTACTTAATGTAAAACAGTCTTTTGTTTGAATATAATTTCACATTCCTTAAAAAATAAAAATAAAAAAGAAAGCCACATTTATGGTAATTTTTTATATTGAATAACCTTTAAACAAAACTAATAAGATAATAAAAACATATAAGATAATTTTATAAAACATGTTACATGTATAGTGTTAAAACTTAAAACTGGTTTCGTCAATAACATCGTTTTCATAAGAACCATACCCTATATATCCATCGACCATCGCCACATAAACGAGTGATACATATTTGATTATATAACTTGAATTTGGGAAATGAATACAGAATAGGCGAAGAAAAAGACTATTTTTTTTGTCAACAGAAAAAGACTAATTAACGTATATAATAATCATAAAATAGGTCAGACAAATATTTTATCTTATTTACAATCTTCCACAACGTAGAAAAAACATCTTTTAACAAATCGATTTTTTTGTTGTAAAATCTTACGCTCCCCGACGGCGACTCCATGGCGATCTCTAGGATTACTCGATCTGCTCTCCTCTGAGAAGGATCTCCGACTCTACACAACTTCGACGGCCCTCATCACCGCAAAGGAGACTACACGACACTCTTTGTGATGATCCGTACCGACCTGCAAGCCGCCATCAATAACCGTTGCGTATCCATCAAGCAATTAATCATCCCTGTCTTGCTCTCTGTTTCATACGCCCATTGGCGTATTCTGTTTAACTCAAGGGGCCTTTGCTCCTTGGGTCGCTTTAAGGATCACGACTTTTCCGCTTGTTAAACAAACATAGGATCCCTTTGATCCGTGTGTATCTCGGTGTATCTGGCTAAACTACACGTCTTTCTCCGACGAGTCTGTTCCCGACGTGTCTTACACAATTCTCCAGTGATATCCGATCAAATTTTCATTGCTGGACCCGTATTTTCCCTGCAATATAGCAACCTCTGTTGATCCATTACCACAGTATGGGATCCAGGAATAGTTATAAATCTGCTCATATGGTAGATTTAAAAGGCAAAGCTATTCAGTTTGAAGATGATGATGAACCAATCAAGTTAACGGCGCAGGGCGATGCTTTTGTGATTAAAGAGTTTCACTTGTCTCTTATTGGCAAGATTTTGAACCCCAGGAAACAGAATGTCGAGAAGCTCCTCCAGAAAATGCCCGCTCAATGGGGTGTTGAAGACAGGATCACAGCTAATGACTTGGGAAACGACAAGTTCCTGATTCATTTTCATACTGAGGAGGATCTTAATGCAGTGTTAAGGAAGGGGCAATTTCATTTCAACTATTGTATGTTTGTGTTGGTGAGATGGGAGCCCATTATTCATGACGATTACCCTTGGATTGTTCCTTTCTGGGTCACTCTCATTGGGATGCTGTTTCATCTATGGACAGATGAAAACTTGAGAAACATAGGTGGTAGACTGGGTCATGTGGACACCATCGATCTCTTGGAGGGTCGTATTCTCATCGGACATCGATTCTAGGAAACCTTTGAAGTTCAAACGTAAGGTGCAGAGCCCGGAAGGAGACGAGGTTACACTTGAGATTCAGTATGACCTCCTCTTCAAACACTGCACCACCTGTGGAATGATGAGCCACGAAAAGAGCTACTGTCCAACCTCACCCGTGCGAGGCAATGTTTTTGAGCGGGTACAAGCTCCTGCTCATCATGAGTTTCAGATATCTCAGGTGAAGGCTGCGAAGGATCACGTCTGGTCCCGTGATCCAAGAGTAAAGGAACAGGGTGGGAAGCATCAGACTGAAAATCGCAAAGACTTCTCTTCTCGCCTTGGAGATCAACATCCCGGATTTGCTGGAAAAAACAGAGAGACACCGGCTTACCCCTCAAGATACAGAGGTGATGATAAACGTCTTCCCACACACACTGATTGGATTATGAGAGGAAGAGAGCATAGGCGAGGCTTTTCCCCTGATCATAGATGCAAGCCGTATTCCCGTTATGAGTATAAAACTCGTGATCATGGGGGAAATATGACTTGGCGGGAGAAGGCTGGAAACAAGACAAGAAGAGGTAATGGAATGGAGAAAGATGAGAGTACAGGGGAGGAGCTGGACTGTGCTGAATCATCTAAAGGGATTGTTCCATATGAACAACCAGAAAACGATACATATCCGGCTGGTGACCTTCGTTGCCAAGGCAGTGATGGTATAAAGGGTGACCAAAAAAACAACAGCAAGCGTGTGGGGAGCATGATTGTGTCGTCTCCCGAGTTTAGACATCTAACAATGGAGGAAAATGTCACTATCAGAAGCAGGAGTGTGGCGAGATCCTTGGCTTATTCCCCAAACAATCAGGAAAATCCACTTCGCGGTGAGCAAAGGATTGACGCTTTGAATGACATGGATGCTCAGGAAGAAAATGAGGGCCACATGATGGATGTGGATGAGTTTGTTGATGGTGAGGATAATCTATTTGATGAAGAAATCAAGGACATGGAAAACATGGGGCAATCCTCCAAAGTTTCGGGGGATACTATTCCTAGCTCATCACGATCCACGCGAGCTGGAATGCGTAACAGACACACGCAGATGGATATGAAGCCAAAGAAAGCAGAGTTCCTCCGTCGAGGTTCTCCACGATTAAGATCATCAGCTACAACCAATCAGAAGGAGAAGTCAAAGTATTCTGACAGTAATCCAAAGAAGGTCAGAGAAAATGCATCCAAGAGTGGTTTGATGGGATCCAATAACCCATCCCACCCCCATCCATGAAGACAATCAGTTGGAACTGTCGAGGGATTGGAAACCACCTCACAGTTCGACGCCTTACGGAGATGTGTCATAAGCATCGCCCAGGATTTGTGTTTCTCTCTGAGACGAAGAATAGAAGGCTGCTGTTGCAAGACATTCAGGCCGACCTAGGTTTTGATCGTTTGTTTACCGTTGAGCCACGTGGACTCAGCGGAGGTTTAGATTTGTTTTTATGGATGATTTTCAAGTTAAGATTTTATTTTCAAATAATAGAATGATTGACATTGAAGCAATCATTGATGGAATAAAAGTTTACATGACGTTTGTTTACGGAGATCCTGTATTAGAACGTAGGGAGTTAGTTTGGGAACGTCTTACGCGTTTCTCAACAACAAGAAATGGACCTTGGTTCATGATTGGTGAATTTAATGAGATTACATGTCACGAAGAGAAAGAAGGGGGTCGGGAACGTGCAGACAGTTCTTTTTTTCCTTTCAGACAAATGTTGAGTGATTGTGGAATGCTGGAATTTCCATTCACAGGGAACATGTTATCATGGGTTGGAAAAAGAGCATGGAGAGTTACAATTAGATGTCGTCTGGATAGAGCTGTTGGTAATGAGGACTGGCATGATAAATTCTCTCATACGAAGACCCAATATATGAGGATGTGGGGATCAGATCATCGTCCGATCCTAGCTGACATTCTTAGAAAGCGACCACGAAGATCGAAATTTTTTAAATTTGATAAGCTTTGGTTAGATAGTGAGGAGCTCCCACAGGTGATTTTGGAGGGGTGGAAATCACCGGATCTGCCACCAGGAGCTACCATTATGGAGCACATTGCGAGCTGCAGACGAGCATTGTGTGATTGGAAGAGACAACACAATCTAAATTCTGAAAGGAGTGTGGAAGAATTAAAGGAGAAAGTTGACCAGTTATCTTCAAATGACAATGCCACTACTGAGGAGATTGCAGCAGATCTAAAAGAATTATCTGATGCCCTTAAGGCAGATGAGATGTTTTGGAAGCAGAAGTGTAGAATTTTTTGGTTACGAGAAGGAGACCGAATACAAATTTTTTCCACGCTCTTACGAAGCAGAGGAGGGCAAGAAACAGGATCACACAACTTCTGGATGAAAATGGAAATGTGGTACATGATGAGGAAGGATTAGTAGCCATTGCTACAAATTACTTTAGACATATTTTCCAATCATCGAATCCTGAGGACATAGATGAAGCACTATCTGAAGTCTCTGCTACTATTACACCAATGGACAATGAAAATCTCACAGCGCCGGTCAGTGAATGGGAGATCAAGTTAGCGCTTTTTGCCATGCACCCAGAGAAAGCCCCAGGACCAGATTGAATGACAGCTCTATTCTAACAAAAATTTTGGGATATTGTCAAAGAGGAATTAACTCTTATGGTTAATAAATTCCTGATTGAAGGCATGATACCTAATGGTTTAAATGAAACAAATATATGTCTTATCCCGAAAGTTGATTAGCCAGATCAGATGAGCCATCTACTCCCTATCAGCTTATGCAATGTTAGCTATAAGATAATCTCTAATGTCTGATGCCAGAGATTAAAAAAAGTTCTTCCAGATAGAATATCAGAAACCCAGTCAGCCTTTGTTGCGGGAAGGCAGATATCTGATAACATTATGATTGCACAAGAGATGTTTCATGCCCCAAGGACCAAACCCAGTGGACGTAATAAGAGGATGACCATTAAAACGGACATGAGCAAGTCGTATGATAGGATGGAGTGGTCCTTCAATGAGGCTACCTTGAGGAAGATGGGCTTTTCAGAAATATGGATAACATGGATCATGCGCTGTATAACATCTGTCAGGTACAAGGTACTGATGAATGGTCAGCCTAGAGGGAACATTGTTCCATAGAGAGGTCTACGATAGGGGGATCCTCTGTCCCCTTTCATTTTTATTTTGTGCACGGAAGCGCTCGTTAGCCTTCTAAATCACGCAGAGAACCAAGGGAAGATAACGGGAATGCGCATCACGCGTGCGTGTCCTTTGGTATCTCACCTTCCCTTTGCTGATGATAGTCTGTTCTTTTGTAAGGCGGAGCCCCGTGAATGTGAAGAAGTAATGAAAGTGGTCAAGAAATATGGACAAGCCTCTGGTCAATGTATTAACTTTGACAAATCTTCCCTACTCTTCGGTAAGAGGATCAGACATGAGGCTAGACAAGAAATTAAAGATACACTTGGAATTCAGAGTGAAGGAGGGATGGTAACATATCTAGGAATTCCAGAGGATATCAGTGGGTCTAAATGTAAGCTCTTTGCGTTTTCAAGGATATGCTAAGGAACATGGTTAATGGGTGGACATGAAGGTGGCTATCGAAAGGTGGAAAAGAGGTTATGATCAAGTCGATCCTATTAGCACTGCCAACTTATGTCATGTCCTGTTTTCTCTTGCCCTTGGAAATATGTGATGCCTTAGCTAGTGCCATTGCACAGTTCTGGTGGAGTTCTAATCCCCCAAAAAGGGGTATCCATTGGTCCACTTGGGACAAAGTATGTTTACCAAAGGAGAAAGGTGGGATCGGCTTCAAGTTGATTCATAAATTTAACTTGGCATTGTTGGCAAAACGATTATGGAGACTGAGTCAATATCCGGATTCTTTGGTTGCTTGTGTAATGAGGGGTCGGTACTATCGATCAAGCTCGCCATTGCGTAAGCTTTCTATTAGAAACCCATCATATGTGTGGACAAATATTTTGGCATCACTAGATTTATTGCTATTGGATATAAGACAGACGATCCATTCGGGGTATGAGGTGAAAGTATGGGAGGACCCTTGGATTCCTACTATACCTGCGAGACCGGCGATCCCATCTGTACCGGTTTTGCACCCAAACATGAGAGTAGTGATCTTATTAATCAAGAGACGAAGACCTGGGACACGACAAGACTAGAACAATACGTCAATGCTGTTGATATACCTCTCATAAAGAGTATGTCCATTAGTTCGACACATCGGAGAGATACATTCTGCTGGAGTTATACAAGGAATAGACAATATACAGTCAAGTCTGGATATTGGGTGGCACGAAATATTTTAAAACGAGAAGAAATGCCTATAGTTAGTGAACCTAGTATTACTAAATTACAAGCGCAAGTTGGGAAGGTGCGGGCTCCACAAAAGATGTGCTATCTTATGTGGCAGATAGTATCAAGTCAAGTGGCTGTTACGACCATCTTAAATTATAGACATATGCGGTGTGATAATTACTGTCCACGTTGTGGAGAACCGGATGAATCGATCACACACGCCATTTTCCTTTGCCCTCCTGCAAAGCAAGTCTGGGCATTATATTCACTACTTACCAGCCCTTCTTTGTTCCCATTACAGAGCACATATGCGAACATGGACTATCTTTTTTGGAGGAAGAATGCCATAGGTGGACCGGCAGTAGACATGGATCCATGGCTAATTTGGTATATTTGGAAGGCCGGAATGACAAATTGTTTAAAGGGATTGATAGAGACCCATTGGAGACAGCACGATATGCAGAGAGTGAATGCCTTGCCTGGTATCAAGCTTATGAGCAGCCGTCCTTGCCCTCTCAAATCGACACGAATGGCGACAACCAGATCATAAGTCTGGGGAGCATCTGTCTGATGGATGGTTCCTGGACCTCTACAGCTCAGTACAGCGGATGTGGATGGGTATGTCAGGATAGTATGGCGAATGGTCAGCTGATGGGATTGCGTAACTTTGATATAGTGGAGTCTGCTTTGCATTCAGAGCTGGAAGCACTGCGGTGGGCAATGGAGAACATGCTTCAACATTCGCCATGTCAGAGCTTTGGGAGGGATTGTAAGGAAATGATATCAATGCTAAGGAATCCACAGGATTGGCCAAGCTTCTCAACGGAACTGGAAAAGCTCACTACCTTGCAGATTTGCTTTCCCGAGTTTAAAATTGTCTATGTGCCTAGGACAGATAAATGGTTTTTCCGATTCACTAGCTAAGTCTGCTCGATCCTTTTATCGAGATTTGGTGTATGTAGGTTGTTCTATTCCGGTCTGGATTCCCAGACCATCTCAAGCTTGAGTAATAGATCAGCCGTTCGTTGTCAAAAAAAAAAAAAAATCTTCCACAACGTTAGGTTTAGTTTTGAAAATTACTTGGACTAAATCATACCCTTGAGACATATATAATATATATTTTGGGTAGATATTTTTTTATGGTGGTTCAATCAGAGCTACAGGTCCAGTCAACTTTGGTAGAAATGCACATAATATTATTGAATATACTGTTTTATAAGTATACCACACAATATTTGATCTGAATTTGAAATATTTTCAAATAATATTAAAAATAGACTGATCGTCTATTACAATTGCCATAAAAACCGAACGTCAAATCTATTTTGACCAAATAATAATAATTTAATTCTTAAGAAAAATCAAACCAAAAATCAATATTGGTATACATCAAACCTCAAGAAATTACTATTACACTACCACCACTTAATTATTAAACTGATACATTGAAAAACTATTATTTTATATTTGCTTGTTTTAACATATCTATGAACTGAAATAATTAAAATAGACCATTGTCAATAAAAATGGATATAAACTCGTATAAATGGTTTTTGTACAAGTAGTTTTATCACATTTATTCATATTTTACTGATTTTTGTTCGAGTAGTAGAAATATAAAATTGGAAAATTCGATGCATATGTTACATGGATATGAATTTGTATGTAAAGTTCTGATCGCATACGGTTAATGGACTATCCACATCCGCTCATTCTGCCCATGGGATCCATCCTGTTTCAACAGTCGGTCCGTTAATTTTCCAAGGCTCTAGAGTCATGTTTACTGATCCTACAATTACCATATGACCTTTTGCCGTGATTTGGCCTCACTTACACGATATCACAAATCACGTCA